GTGTGTGAGAGTGTGTGTCTGTGTGTGTGTGTGTGTCTGTGAGTGTGTCCGTGTGCGTGTGAGAGATTCACCCCGGACTGATGGCCTCCTCAGGAACACTGATGCACGTCTGAGACGGGACACACATCTGAGACTCCTCGAAGTCCTGTCTGTTCCGCGCGTCCATCACCAGCACACTTATACTGGGATCCTTCATCAGCTGGAACAGATCCTTAGCGCTGATGCTTCCTGACGGGACAGAAAACACACGTCACAAAACAACAAACACACAGAGAAGTATGACAGTCCACCGGGACACACGGTACCTTTATCACAGCCAGTCTTACTGTTATTGGGCTCCTCTTTAACCTGCTGTAAAACACACAAACAGCAAAATGAATTATTAACAAATCAAAGCATACATGATAATGGCCTGTGACCTTTGAACATTGACCCGTTTAACTGTTCGAGTGCCAACTGCAAGTTGAACTACTAAAACACGGATTTAAAAAAAAAAAATTTATTCTAAAATTTATCTCGCTATAGCATAGTCATATTGTTCCTTTTTAAGCTACAGCAGGTGAAATAAACTCGTCACATGATCAAGCTCATAGTATGTTTGCATGGACCCATGAAGCCACACTGAAACTGGGTCACAATGCAACACGGTTCATTTTTACCATACAGACACTTGTGATGGTCAATCATTTTTAACATTTGTAGTTTTTAATTTTGAAGTTTTTCATTAAGATATTTAACAGTTTTTGATGGCTCATTCAGCCGAGAGCAATAAATCTTTTTCTTCTTTTTTGCTTTATGTCAATATTGTCTGATTTACATTAATGATGAGGTTAGTGTTAAGCAGACGTACCCTAACTAACACGTTTGTTTGTGTAATCTGAATTGATGTTTCCTTTTTCCACAGTATTACATATCCGTGCAGCATAAAGCTTCAGGAATTGATACTCATTGACGAGTGTGTGTTTATCAGATCAGATCAAATGATGAATGATTTCCAGTCCAGCAGCATTACAGCACCTTCTTATTGTCCTTCTTCTCTGAAGCTCCTCGAGGTGAAGCAAGGCTATCTTTTTCACTTCTTTCTTCTCGTCGACTCTTTTCCTCCTTTCTCTCTTTCTCCTCCAGCTTTTTCCGCACTTCTACCTCCTCATACCTGAGACAGCAGCACCAGAAGGTGAACAGAGTGTTTTTGAGACAGAAGAGAGTGTGTGTGTGTGTGTGTGTGTGTGTGTGTTTGTGTGTGTGTATGTGTTTACACTAGGCTTAACATCTGCCTCGGGACAGATCAGTGGATGACTGACAGGTGAGTGGGCGGAGCTCTAGGATGCATCTGGCCTCAGAGTGCACACTACAGATGTGATGTGAGAACTGTTTACACCTGTATTTAGCACTGAACCCTTGTGATCAGAGCACCTGAGACAGATGTTAATAGCAGGTGTAAATGGATTGTGTGTGTGTGTGTGAGTGAGTGTGAGTGTGTGTGTGTGTGTGTGTGTGTGAGAGAGAGTGATTTTGAGTATGTGAGTCTGAGTGTGTGTGTGTGAGAGAGTGTGAGTGTGTCTGAGTGTGTCTGTGTGTGTGAGTGAGTGTGAGTGAGTCTGAGTGAGTGTGTGTGTGAGTCTGAGTGTGTGTGTCTGTGTGTGAGTCTGAGTGAGTGTGTCTGTGTGTGTGTGTGAGTGTGTGTGAGTCTGAGTGAGTGTGTGTGTGTGTGTGAGAGAGTCTGAGTGAGTGTGTGTGTTTGTGTGTGAAACACTGACCGGAGCTTCAAACTCTCTGAAAGTTTCTCTGCCTCCTCGATGGCCTTTTTAAAGCTGGTTGGTCCGAGCATAGACAGGAAGAAATCCTGAAAGCCATCAAATGAATATACAGTGATTGACAGAACGCGTATCACATTTCAGGGCATCGACACGTTAACAACATCTGAGCTTATAAACCATCAGCTGAATAATCATACAAATATATGTGTATAACACGCATGTAACACAGTGATCTCACCCTCAGTGTCACGTCTCCACCATTAAAATCTCCCACAATGCACTAGGGCTCTACCTGCTGCTGCTTGAAGTCCGGTCTCTTCTTGATGAGGTCATAGACCGTCAGGTACTTCATGTACAGCACATAAGCTTTCTCCTCATCGCGGTCCAGACGACACTCCTCCGCCGCCTTGAAGATCTTGCATGCGCTCTGGACATAGCTGAAACACACAAACATCAGCGTCTGATCTGCGTTTCCCAAAAGCATCGTGAGCGCAGCTGGTCATACAGACCACTGGTGCCAGTGTTTCTAAACACTTACGATGCTTCTGAGAAATCTGTTGCCACAAATGGAGATGTTCTGTAATCAATCAATGTATAATGCAGAAGACTTCAAGACAATATCGTGCTCCTCTGTGAATCATAAAACTTGCTACCGTCACTTTGAGAGTCAATACTCAATATCAGGGAACATTAAATGAATCCCCGTGTCTCCTGACGATATACTGAGATCTTATGAAGCGAAACGATCAGTCTGTGCAAGAAACTGAACATTATTTACAGCATTATTACTGTAATCCAGAGCCTCAGGCAAACGGTCCGGAGTGATGTCCGGTTCACAAACGAATCAATCTTTTGAACCGGATCTTTTTCGAGAACTGGATTAAATGAGTGGAAACAGCGGAGGATCTGATTCTCTGATGAATGAACTGATTCAGCGCTTCAGTTCCTCAACAGTCTCTGAACGGAGCAAACAGTTCGACTCGGACTGAACACCGTGAACCCAACACTTGAATGAAGCGCCAAATGAAGGTTTTATGGTTTCTCAGTGTTTATGTAAAAAGGTGAGCTGACGAAGACTAGTTTATTCACTTTATATGCTTTAGACGTGCAAAACATCCACGTTTCACATCATTATTGAGTGCTTTATTAATATAATCACGTATACGTGACGTCATTGTGTGATTACGTAAACAAACTAGTGAACTGAATCAGTTCATTGAAACGAACAGTCCGAAAGAATCAGTTCGTCATATTTCCCCGTTTGCCTGAGGCTCTGGATTACAGTAATAATGCTGTAAATAATGTTCAGTTTCTCGCACAGACTGATCGTTTCGCTTCATAAGATCTAAGTATATCGTCAGGAGACACGGGGATTCATTTAATGTTCCCTGATATTGAGTATTGACTCTCTAAAGTGACGGTAGCAAGTTTTATGATTCACAGAGGAGCACGGCTTCAGCTAAAAATCCTCTTTACTGTCCTACTGAAGAACGAAAGCCGCCTCCATGGCCTGACGAAGAGTAAATTAACAGCTAATGTTCATTATCGAGTCATACCGTAATAAGTCGCATCAGACCCAAATGACTTGTGCTTCAGTGTCCACACTTACTGTCTGGAACTGATCGATCTTAAAATCTGTCTGTGCGCTTGTTTCGTCTCAAGATGCACACCACTGATGATTTTTTCTAAGGCATGTTTATAAAAACTACATAAATGTCCTAATTGAACTGTGGCTTAATCTAAACCCTGTCTGGGAAACCAGGCCATAGTGTTTCAGGGCAGGTACAGTTATTTAAAAGTGATGCAGATCTGTTGGAAGTTGTATTTTCAAACTTTGCTAAAACCAGACATTTACATTAATAGATCATACGGGCATATTTATTCCTTAAGTTTTCTTTATTGGTCTTTAAAAGTCTTAAATTGACCTGCAGAAACCCGGCTGTGTGTCAAGTCACCGTTATTTATATAGGGCTTTTAATAATACAGATTGTGTCAAAGCAGCTTTACAGTATCAAACAGGAAAATAGTGTGTAATAATGCAGAAGGACAATAGTAAACACTCAATTTTCAGTTAAAGGCAGTTCATCATTGAATTCAGTGATGTCATCATCCGGCTCAGTTCAGTTTAAATAGTATCTGTGCAATCAAGTCGACGATATCGCTGGATATTAAGTGTCCCCAACTAAGCAAGCCAGAGGAACCAGAACTCCATCAGTGACAGAATGGAGAAAAAACCTTGGGAGAAACCAGGCTCAGTCGGGGGCCAGTTCTCCTCTGGCCAGACGAACCAGCAGGTTGCTGCAGCAGAGTCAGATTGTGCAGAGGACTCGACTGGTTCCTGTGCTCTTGTGTGTGTGAATGAGGTGGATAAATGTCTGTGTCTGCTTTCAGATGTCTCTAGTGGATTTGGGAAAGAAGCTCCTGGAAGCCGCTCGCGCCGGTCAGGACGACGAGGTCCGGATTCTGATGGCGAATGGAGCTCTGTTCACCACTGACTGGGTGAATGTCTGTGTGTGTGAGAGAGAGAGAGAGAGAGTGTGTGTGGTGTGTGTGTGTGAGAGAGAGTGCGTGTGTGTGGTGTGTGTGTGTGTGAGAGAGAGTGTGTGAGTGAGTGTGAGTGTGTGTGAGAGAGAGTGCGTGTGAGTGTGTGTGTGAGACGGAGTGAGTGAGTGAGTGTGTGTGTGAGACGGAGTAAGTGACTGAGTGAGTGTGTGAGACGGAGTGAGTGAGTGAGTGTGTGTGTGTGTGTGTGAGAGAGAGAGTGCGTGTGAGTGTGTGTGAGAGAGAGTGTGTGTGTGAGTGTGTGCGTGTGACAGTGAGTGAGTGTGTGTGAGAGAGAGTGTGTGTGTGAGTGTGTGCGTGTGACAGAGAGAGTGA